CAGAGCAGCCAGCCTCTGATGTGGACTTAATGCATAGAATCATAGAATAGCGAAGTTGGAAGGGGGCCTCTAAGGCCGAGTCGAACCCCATGCTCAAGGCAGGAATCCAAATCAGAGGATATCTGCCAAGTGGTTGTCTAAATTTCCCTTGAATGCCTCCAGTGTTGGAGCACTTGCCACCTCTCGAGGCAATGGGTTCCATTGTCATACTGCTCTAACAGTTAGGAATTTTTTCCTGATATTCAACTGAAACCTGTCTTCCTGTCACCTGAACCCTGTGTCCTGCACTCTTGGATGATCAAGAACAGATCCTGCCCTTTCTTTGTTTAACTATCTTCCAAGTATTTGAAAAGTTTTAGCCTATCTTTCTTCTGCCTTCTTTTCTCAAGGTAAAACATGTCCTGTTCTTTCAGTCTTCCCTCGCAGGACTTAGTTTTCCGTCCCCCGGTTCAACATTATTGCCCTCCTCTGAACTTACTCCTGTTTGTTGACATCCTTCTTAAATTGCAGTGGCCGCGCTACCCGTGATGAGGCCTAACCCGTGCCAAATCGAGGGGGATGAGCACTTCACAATATTTGGAGACTATATCGTGGTGCCTCGCTTGGCGAAAAAAAAGCCCATTGAAAGCCGGTTCAATGCGTTCCAATGGGCTAATTACCTCAGTGTCCACCAAAGATCCTCCATAGGGCGGCCATTTTCCATGCCTGTGCAGTGAAAAATTGCTTCCTGAACACAGCCGGGAGCCATTTTGAGCAGCCGGTGGCCATTTTGAAAACCCAACGATCAGCTGTTTTGATTGTCGTAATGTGAAGAATCGGTTCCCGAAGCAGGGAACTGATCCTCGTAAAGCGGTTTTTGCCCATTAAAACGTTGTTTTGCGGTTGCAAAAGCGATCGCAAAAACTTCATCGTGAAGCGGATTCATCTTCAAGCGGGGTAAGCGTTAAGCGGGGCACCACTGTACTTCCGTTAATGCAGCCTAAAATAGCACTGGCCTTTTTTCTTTTTCTTTTTTTTTTTTTAGTCACCTCATCATTTCGGCTTCTTTACAGCTTGTGATCCAGCTTGTGACCTATAACAGTTCCAAGATGCCATGAGATCGTGCATCCTGGGAACAAGTCAACTGAGAGTTGGAAGGGTGTGATGGAATCCTTGTCTCATTCCAGTAGCCTTATTAATATGCATACTGGGATTATGTATTTGGAAATGTTTCCATACATTTAAAAACTTACAGAACATTTCTTCCCTCCTCCAACCCACAACGACTTCCCCGTTTCCTGTTTTAAAAAAAAATGATTGAAATACTCTTGATAATGGCATCTTTATTTTAAAAATGCATTTAAATGACTCCAAAACACCTGGGAACCATTTTTCTTTCATGAATACTTCTGGCCCTTTTTCTCTGGACTTTTAGATGTGAGAACTGTCCAGCGTGTGAGACGCTTCTCAGGTCTCCTGAGGTGTTGGTGCTGACAGGCTGCGTTGGCTTTTCCTGAAACCACCCATTTCCATTTCTGCTGACCAGATGGGAAAACTTTCCTTTCTAACGTGGCTCAGCTGTTTGGCCCACGGGAGAAGTGCCGAGGCCAGTCGTTTTAAGTTCAACTGGCACATAAATCTCGCCCAAAGCTCCCGGTTTAAATAGGTAAAACAGGAGGGGATTTGGCAAAGTGCAGCTTTTATTCTGCCAGTTTTCTTGTAGCTTTTATTCGTGGAACAAACCACATTTTCTGTGTGCCAGCTGGGAGAAACGGCTACTTTGTGGTCTGTGGCAAGGAAATATGGCCTTACAAATGCTCTTATCAGCCATTTACAGTTAATTTCTCCTTTTGTGTGCATTTTTTTTCCTTCCCCAGTCTCCTCTTAGCCATGACCTCATCCTTAACCTGACTCAGGACGGGATCAAACTGCTGTTTGATGCTTTCAATCAAAGACTTAAGGTAAAGGTATACGTTGGAAAATACACGGCTGCTTCTCCTTCCCCCACCTCAAAGCCTAGGCATTCGCTCACCCGCTGCCAAGGTTGGTCTCCGCCAGAACAATGATAGCGACGTCATTGGTGCATAACCGCTCCTGCAAATATGTACCTAAGGCTGCTCTTTCAGTCCCTGGTTTATGTCTGGTGTGTGACTTCTTGAGAACGGGTGTGTATTTGTGCTGTGGTTCAAGGAGGTTGACATACAGTTGGATTTAGGTGTTGGTGACAGGATATCCCTCCCTCCCTCCCTCCCTCCTTTCTGTCCTTCCTTCCTTCCTTCCTTCCTTCCTTCCTTCCTTCCTACCTACCTACCTACCTACCTACCTACCTACCTACCTACCTACCTACCTACCTACCTACCTACCTACCTGCTATACTCTGGGTGGCATATAAACAAGCAAAACCACCCAACCACCAACCACTTCATTCCCATAACAAAATTAAAATGGAGCTATCACCAATGTAAACACAGTACAGAAAGAAAATGGAAGTTCAAACATTAAAATTAACATCATTTGAAGGCATGATGTTCTTAAAGGTGACCTTAAATAATTCTGTCTTGAGTAATTCATGGAAACTTACTTGCCTATGAAGGACCATTTGGGCGACTTAAGACCAGTCCCAGAAGCATCTGCCATGACCCACAGTTTCCAAGACACAGCCCTCTTTTGTTTGAGGTCTGCAGTTACTTACCCTCAAGTAAGGTTCCAGTTTCTGCTCTTGACAACCAGGTCAAGATAGTTAACAGAAGTTATGGAAATAATGTTGTGCACCAAGCAGAGTCTTTGTCAGTGCCAGGCGGACCACAGCAAGTTCCAAGTGAGTTAGAAAATGTCAAAAGGTTCCGATTGAAAAGATGCTTCACAAAACGGGGGAACTGGGAACGGTCAGAGTTTGAGTTGCACCTTGCCTGCTAGTGGAGAATGCCTTTTTCTAAGTGTGGCTTGTTCTCTAGCCAAACAGGACCACCAGCAGGCAACAGAAACGGCGCAGTGGCAGTAAACAGAGATGCGGAATCATGGGGAGGCAAAAGAAAAGACAAATGGAATAGAATTATATAGAAATAATTGATGAAATTATTATTAATAATTCTGTTACTAGAATCATTAAGAAATAATTAATTTCTCACAATCATTTCTCATCTGTAACAGCTAATCTTGGCAGACTCTACCCTTTATTAGTTCTGGGGAGAAAATTATTTATTTATTCATTGAAATGCAAGCTATCCATAGGCATTTGCAAGATCTGACTCCTCTAACATGGCTGTGGTTCCCGAAAGCAGCGCCATAAGCCATGCAGTGTGTTCATCTTGATTCAATGCGTTTAAGATTTTTTTCACCCAACAAGCCATTATTTCCTCTTTTCTTTTGCCCAAGGAAACTCTGGCCTTCATTAAATCCCTTCAAAATGTTGCCTGTTTTGAGATGTTGTACTGCTCAATTTAATGGGTCAATTAAATGTGTTGATGGCCTGAAAATTCATCTGCTTAACAAACAGATGACATCTCCAGTGGGAAAGAATCAACATGGTTAGCTTCTGCCCCATATTTTTACCCTTGTTCAGTTCATGTTTCATTTTTCTCCTGCAGATCCGTACATTTGCTTTCCTTTTATGCCTGGTATTATAGCATTCACAGCTCCATTTTTAATATTCATACGTTGCTTGAATCCCCCTTCTTTCCTATTTTCCCGGCCTTTACTCAAGGGCTTCTGAGTTCACATGCTTGTCTCTCTATCACCAATAATGAGAAAGTGCCTGGGAGCTTTCACTTCCGTTTGCAACTAACCATGGTTAGTTGTTATGTCTGAATCAACACAAACCTAGATTAGTTAAAATGTTGTTTAGGGAAACGACAGATGCAATAGAGACTGAAGAGTAAAAAAAATTACATTCTCCTTATAGTCACTAATGAATAGATCCTGATATGGGCTCCAGTCTGCTCTTGAATTGATTGGTCCTGAGTTGCTCTGTCTTCTCCCTTTAGCTGTTCTTCCTGCCTCGTTGCTCCAAACTTCCCGGAATATTAGGAAGATCATCTAGTCCCATCAGCAGGGAGAAGAAGGGCTCCATCAGAACTACATCCTGCACACAGACCATTTTCCAGTTCTCGAGATCAGCTGGGGGGGAACATCAACAGGATGATGAGCTGAGGTTGCAGAAAACCTCAAGAGCTGTCACAGAATCATTCCGATCTAGGGATTTAGGAAATGGTTTAGATCTAGGTACGGAGACTTTTCAATTAGGTCTCTCTCTTCAACCTTGGTTAAGAGTTCCTGTAAGTCAGAACCCAACTAGCTAGTGACCTTTTTCTGCCACTACCCAGATGCCAACTTCACATCAAGAAACAAAACAGCACCAGAATTCAACAACACCAACCTTCAGGTTTCCACCAAAATAACACAATAGCGGTCAATCAGTGTGTTGGTGTTATCTTGAAACGGCTCTTCCTCTTGACTTTGTTCTGTATTCTTTTATCCGCACTGCTTGCAGTGGCTGGACTCTGACCCTCCCATGTTTGTTGATTTCTAATAGTACATCCAAACCAGGAAACAAATATCAGACAAAATAAAAGCACCCAGTGACTCGACTTACACAACACCACCAAAGAAAGCCTTCTCAAGTCTGTCTGTACATCTTCGGAAGTGAACTATGTTAGCGTTTTTCTTTCCTTGTCCTTCCAGGGCGTTGCACTATTTCTATTTTCTTTTCTTAAATACTGAGTATGAATTCGAAGGCTCTCATACTTCAGAAATAAATTTTTCTCTCTGTGTGTGTTTTTTAGGTGATTGAAGTTTACGACTTGACTAAAGTGAAGTTAAAATATTGGTAAGTAGCTGGTCAGTGAACTGGAGGCACCAGCTCCTTCTCCAACTATATTTGGGGATCCTGCATGCTTCTGCTTGATCAACTGCAAGAGGAACAAACCTTTTTTTCACTGCAAGCACAGACTTTTTGCTCCTCCGGTCATGATAAAAGCAAAACCTCTAACTGACCGTAGCTGTCCGCTTTATCTGAACTGGAGAACTGTGGTTTCTCCTTCCAGAATGGCCGAAATATTAAATCACAGCGTGAGACTGGTTTACGTTTTGGTCCCTCCTTTCAAAGCTAGTCATCGTAGTTTGCCGGTTCTGATTTCCACTCGGGCCTGGAACTCACTGGTCGCACTTGAGTGAGTCTTCCTCTTGCAAACTGCCCTCCAGCAGATTGCCGTGAGGTGGAAAGGGGATACAGAAATCATTGTCTTTGCTCTGAGCTTCTAGGAAAAAAAAATAGAAAATTTCAATAAATTTGAGATCCCCCATTTTTCTCCCTGTCAAGTGTGTTCAAAGTATGTCCTTTGAGACTAGTAGATATTGCAGCTGATGAATCCCTGTTTGGGCTTCAAGCTCCTCGTTTGCATAATGGGAATAATTACCTCCTCTGGAGGGAGCCAAAGAAATAACAACAAAAAGCTCTTGAAGCACTTTGCTAGGGTCAAGGTTGACTTAGAATATATGTAGAAGCATTTGATGCCATCCTGATTCAGAAACGTCTTCTTTCTCCCTCGTTCCAGTGGTGTTCATTTCAACTCTCAGGCCATTGCTCCGACCATAGAGCAGATCGATCAGTCTTTCGGGGCGACACATCCGGGAGGTTAGTAGCCATTCTTGACATCATCCATAACACGGACCCTTCCGGAACTGAGCAGGGTCTTCTCTAACCTCGTTCCAACATTTGTTATCCAGGGAGTAAGGGCCACTTCTGCTTTGATGGCTATACCCTGTCCTGTGACATGGATACACTGTTGTTTTTATTCCTTTATTTTATCCCCTTTGTTAGCCCCATTTTAAGCTCAAGTAAAGCAGGTTTTGTAAGCTCACGCCATGGCTGAAAAACCGGCAGATCCTGTCTGACCGCCGATAGGTGTACAGTGCAGGAAGAGATGCCACTATTGAAATGCCTTGAATTCTTTTAAATTACTGTCTGCCTCCAAAGTCATATGACAGTGTGTTCCTGGGGAGAGGCAAAATCAGTTCTATCCTGTTGGTGTGTTTTCATCACCTCTTGCACCCTTTTTTCCAAGCAGGCTCTCTTTTCGCCCACTTTTGGGGAGGAGGGCGTCTGAACCATCTAATTTGGACTCCTCTCCTCTTCCGGCCCAGAAATGGCCTTCCTCACCACCCGCACAGTGTCTTGGCTGCAGATTTTATTTACCAAAACCCTTCACTTCACTTCATACAGTTTTGTTTAGACTGAAGCCATTCTCTGTGTCGTTGTGTTATCGAAGGCAGGCGGTAGGGGGGGACCATTTTGACAAAATCCTTGTTGCCTTTTAAATATTAGCAGACGTTTCGTGAATGGAAGTCATATGATTGGAGAACGAGTGTAACAACTTGGCCATACTTGAAAAGCTCTCCCGAGACACCTTTTGCCCGATAGCTTCATTGAGGACGAGAGATGCTTACGCCTCTCTCCTGTTGCAAATCTTAAATAGAACATCAGACAAGGAGGTCTTTGACTGGTAGCAAGGCAAAAGTAAATAGTTTAAAGCGTCCTCTGGAGGGGTGTGTGAGGCCTTCAGGTGTGACTACTGTGGAGAAAGACCAAGTACAGTATTAAGCCAAACCCTTCATGGAGAAGTGTTAAAAGGAGGAAGATGCAGAGAGAAAGTCACAATTTCTCTCTCCTCTCCCCCGGAAGTGTGTTCAAGAATATTCCAGAAAAAGAGGTGTCTTTTTCTAGAGCTATCCTTTCCAGATTAAAACACACACACACAGACACAAGTTGGCTTATGCACCTCCCGTCTTGAATGTATACTGCATTGCTTACGCAAACTGGGTTATTTTCCACCTTCACGAAGCTTCTTTGGAACGGTTCTAAGAAAAGTTGAAGCCCCAGCTTTATAGATGATTGTTTGAGGCATACTCTGATGAAGGGCTGAACGGCCTGACCACGCTTCGTCCCTCGTCGATAACAGAAATTCTGTTTCTATATGTTTCTGTGTGTCTTTCTCCAGTGTACAACTCAGCAGAGCAACTTTTCCACCTCAACTTCAGAGGACTGTCTTTTTCTTTTCAGCTGGACTCGTGGACTGAAACTCCAAAATATGAGGTTAGACGTCTTCTTGGTTAATAAGTACATAGCTAAATAGTTGCTGGACTTCGAGGATCTTAGTAAATCATTTCCATCTGCATAGAGCGACAGGAATTCTGGTCGTTGCATTTTTGTTTATGCAAACTTACATGCTTCAGAAGTCAGAAGCCGCCTAGAGTGGTCCTCGATTGACCAGATAGGCGGGATACAAATAAAATAAATAAATAAATAAAATGGGGTACCAGGCTCAGTCCTGGGCTCATGAATAAAATAACCTTGTTTTTATTTTTTGCATAGCCAAACTTTGCCCATGGCTTAGCTTCTCTGCAAATTCCCCATGGCGCAACTGTGAAACGCATGTTCATCTACAGTGGAAACAGTCTGCAGGACACCAAGTGAGTAAATCTTGTGTTCTGGAAGATACATAGCATGTTTTGCTCTCCTCGCTTCCTGCCTGCACATAATTGTCCATTCAGAACAGTGAAGAAAACTGGTGGAATCACATTTTAACATCAAACTACCTAATTTGTGCTTCTTGGACCGATTGCAGGTAAATGCCCAGCGTTTGCACTTCTTCACATTTTACACGGCAGTTCTCTCATCAGCAGATGCACATAAAATAGTAATTTTCGAGGATAATGTGCTGAAAAATGCAGATATTAATGAAAACTAGGGACAAAGCAAACATCATATCAGGGATGGCTGTTTGCAAAAATGTGTGCATTTTGAGAAGTGTGCACAGAAACATTTAAAAAATTGTGAGATTTAAAGAAATCACAAACTGATACAGAAATGCAGTTGAGTTATGGTTAGAAAAGTAGAAGCTGAAAATGTGCATTACTATTAATATATTTAAGACAAAGACTTCTCTCCGTTTGTGCTTAAGCCTCTTCAGGGAATTCAGTTTCTGTGTTTCTAATGCAGAGCTCTAAGTTATTTAAGATAACAATGTTTGCGCCTCTCTCTCTATATATATATAAAAGAGCCCGTGGACAGATGCATATATATATTGGTTAATAAATGCATAGCGTATACACACACGCACAAATTTAATTGTATTTTAAATCATATATTGTTTAATTTATCTTTTAATTTTTAACTTACTCTGTTTTTAAACTGTGTGAATTTTAATGTTGTGTGCCGAAAAAAAACTAATAAATAAATGTATATATTTGTGTAATTCAGTGAAAGTCTTAATAAACAGTGGGGGAGTTTTATTTTCATGTCGCATTATTATTTATCTTTTCGTAGGCACAGATTTAGTAGCTGGTACGTTCTTTTCCAAGCCAAATCATGTTGGTCTGACCATCATCTGTGTTACCCTTCCTTGCTTATGTTGCATTGACAACGTAAGCCTAGGAAGTACCGTATTTTTTGCTCCATAAGACGCACCAAATTTTTAGGAGAAGAAATCAGGAAAAAATAATCTGTTTTCTTCGCTCCATAAGACGCACAGACTTTCCGCCCCCCTGTTTTGTGGAAAAAAAGTGTGTCTTATAGTGCGAAAAATACAGTAAATAGGAAACGGTTTGTTTCTCTGCTCCCTTCTTTTGCTGTTCCTGCATAATGATCTTACTGTTTCAGGGCTCCTGTGATGCCCCTCAGCTGTTTCCTGGGAAATGTATATGCGGAGAACGTTGATGTTCTGCGAGATGGAGCCGGACCTTCCGGTCTACGGCTTCGCTTACTCACTGCAGGTACTTGGCTTATTGACTAAGTGGAAATATTTAAGCTGCGGTTAACTTTTCAAAGGCACAGAGGTGGACTTGGCTTCCAGTAGATAAGACAAAACAGGAGGGCAGCTTATGGAAGCCCTGGTTTTCTATACCTCTGGAACAGAAACTCTGGCTCAGAGTCTAAACTGTGGTTAGCAAGAACTGTTGCAATTAACTTAAACCATTAGATGGAGGAGACGGGGGGGACATACACACACACTCCCCCGCGCAGCCTGCTCGTATTTACATGCGGCACTGGGATATCCAAGATTTAAACACAGCCGTGTATGACTACAGTAGATTAATTTTTCTGTTCATGCTAGCCATCAACCATCAGCATGAAAAGATAACCATTGTGCTTAAAAATATAATCATAAGGTAGTGACTAGTTAATGCAGCTTGCTTACACCCAGGATGTTGTAAGACTTTGGTTGAAATCCAGTCGTCACAACTAGAGTAGACCTGTTGCAGTGTTTCCTCACTTTGGGGTCACCCTGTGTTCTTGGACCGCCGCCCCCAGAAGCCTTCACCACCATCTGTGTTGGCTGGGATTTCTGGGAGTTGCAGTCCAAGAACACTTGGGTTACACAAGGTTGGGGAACACTGGCCGATTGATTTGGCAGAACATAGAGAGGAGCTGGCTCACCCAACCATCATGGATGCAGTGGGCCTGCTCTAGTTGTGACTTAGTCATGGATGCAGCGGGCCTGCTCTAGTTGTGACTTCACGACTGGATTTTAGCCAGCGTTGCACATGTATAACCGAAACGCAGCTCTGCATTTTTTAGAGTGACACCCTAAAACACACAGACGACTGGATTTTAGCCAGTGTTACACACGCACGCGTGCACATGTATAACCGAAACGCAGCTTCGCATTTTTTTAGAGTGACACCCTAAAACACACAGCAGAATGATTAGAATCAGAAATTTGCAGCAAAGGCAAACGTTCAGCGAAATCCAAATCAACCCAGTCCTTCCAGATACAGAAAATGTGTCTTGCATTTAACTTGCTGCCCCCACATTAGGGAAATCGTAAGGTTGTGTCAGACCAGAACAGGCAGATAGAGAGAAGCCGTTTCCTGTCCCCTTCTTCTGAGACGGTGCAGCTTGTCCAAGGTGACCCAGGCTGGCTCTTCTCCCAGGAGATACGCAGTGTGGGGGGGAATCGGAACTCCCAACCTCTGGCACCTAAACCAGTGAGCTATTCAGCCAAAATCTGATCAAGATTTTGGGCCACTGAAATACTCAGTCCGGAACAATCTGTCTCAGTGTTCTTCTGTTCTTTAGCTTCTGGCCCAGGTGTATTAGCCGATGCCAAGATGCGGGTATTCGAGCGCTGCGTGTATTTTGGTGATTCGTGCCAAGATGTTCTGAGCACTTTGGGATCCCCTCATAAAGTTTTCTACAAGTCAGAAGATAAGGTGAGACAAAATGAAAACCAGCACGCTGATGCAATCTCTGTTTACAGTTTTTGGCCTGTTTGGATATTTGAATTATTCAGTAACTTTCACCCTTCCAGCGGCTCTCTCTGCTTCCCTGTGTGCCGAAACCCAGTATAATCTTGCCTCTTTGGTCTCTCAACATTGGAGTCCTCTTTACTGTGTAGCACAGTTTGATCCAAGCAGCAGAATAAATTGATTTAGGGACAGTTCCACGTCAGACTTTGCAGGAAGGCTCGTGTGATGGGATGTCCCATCTCAAGGTTTGTTTCCCCCCGAGCGACTTTCTTCCTCTGCCAAGGATTAGTATTAGTAACATTCCTGCTGTTGTTAGTGTTATTATTATAATTGTCATGATGTGATTGGAGGAACTAGATTGATTGATTGATTGATTGATTGATATAACTTATATGCCGCCCAGCCTCAGTTCTATATGCCACCCAGCCTCGGTTCCTTAAAAAGGGAGAAGGAAAGAGGACCATTTTCAGAGAGGAAGAGATGGGGCCAAGAAGAGTACAGATTGAGGGAATCTTCAGGAGATCTGAATTAAAGATTAGGGAAAGGGGAACACGATCCTTTCAGAAGCTTTCAAATGATGCAACTCGATTTTCCTCGACCCGGTGCCAGAAGTTCATTTCCCCATTGGCTGGGTCCAGACTTAATCGTGCTTAGGGTGGATCTGTGGAAATTAAAACAAAAAAAAAACAAGCTAATCATGATGGCGAAATCTGTCCAGTAAATTTTGCAATGCTTACGAAGCGCAGCTCTGTTTAGTTCCAAACAAGAGCTGTCATTTCTCGTTTTCCCCACGTCGTCTCTCCTCTTTTCCGGTCAGAGAGTTTTGCTTACTCTGTGGAATGGTTTTATTTTTATTTTGCAGATGAAAATCCATTCGCCCTCCCCTCACAAGCAGGTATCTTCAAAGTGCAATGACTACTTCTTCAACTACTTCACCCTCGGAGTGGTGAGTTACAAGCTTTGCCCAAATTCGTTGGGAGAGAAGCTGCCCCCGTTTGCTTCTCTCTGCGCACAATTTTCCTCATCCTTCCCTCCGCAGTTTTGGGAACAAGGTTTGCCCAAATCCTCCGGTGATCCATTACTACGATATTTGATCCATAACTTTTTCGGTGTGCCCGTTTCGTTAATGATCCTGCTGCACCATCGGGGTCTCCTTGGGCCCGTTCTGCCTGTTGGTTATTCTGTGTTTGCAAAATGAAATCTTGGTTCTTTAGCCTCAGGAGCAATCCGGAGGAAGACGGCATTATTGCTTGTTTTATTAAACAGTCACCGGGGGCGGGGGGGGAGAGGAAGAAGCCGTGCTCTAATTAATTAAACAGAAGCCGTTTCCAACAATATTAGCTTTTGCCATGGTTGTGGCACAACATTTTCTTCGCTTGCTTCCAAAGGAAAGCAAGTCCTGAACTAATTGCTCTAAGGAGCGTGATCCGGCTTGTACACATGAGACTTCCTGCTGATCCCCAGGGTGTCGTTTGGCTGTTTTAATTTAGTGCTGACTCACTTCGTTTCTCCCCCCCCTTTCCCTGCTATCCCCCTCCCCCCAGGATATCCTTTTCGATGCAAATACCCACAAAGTGAAGAAATTCGTTCTGCACACAAATTACCCTGGCCATTACAACTTCAACATGTGAGTAGAGAGAGGGCTGTGTGGCCCAGCCGTCAGCGGCCGTTTGGGAAATGTTGTGGTCACGGTTACATATGAAAGAGCAAAGAAAATAGGTGGGAGGGTGGCTGTCTCTCAGTTAAAAAGAAGCCCTGTCTAGTTGGTTTCTGGTTCTTTGTCATTTCCTCGGTGGCTCATGCGGGGGCATTTTCTAGAAAGCAAATGTCAAACTTCTTGTATGTCAAATTCCATGCCATATAATAGAACAGTGGTTCCCAGCCTTGGGTTTCCAGATGTTCTTGGACTACAACTCCCATAAATCTTGGCCAGCACTGCTGGGTGTGAAAGTTTCTGGGCGTTTGGGCCCAAGAACCACCTGAAGAGGGAGAACAGCCTATTAAGTCACCGTTTAAAGCTGAATTATTATTTTCTTGTTCCTGCGCGGTTAAGGAAAGCACTGCATACACCTGGGAGGCAGGAAAGTTTTAAGGGTCGGATCAGACTTCCGCACTATTAAAGAGTAGGCTGGGTAGGTGGGGCTGGTCAGCCATGGAAGGCAACCCATCTAGGAGAAGGAAAACTCTGATTTCAAACCTCCACTGCCTTGTGGCTATATCCACTCATGGAAAAGGCTTCAGGAGTTAACCTAGAGGCAAAATCCGGAGCTGGAGTCCTGAAGACAGTTCATGTTGTTTTGCCATCTCCTGCGACGTCACTGGAACCAGTTGTATTGACTCTTGCCTTTCCATTGGACCATTTCAGCAACGTGGAGAGGGGGGATCTGCTGCTTGGGTAACAGCCTATCCTCCATATTACCTTACCCGGGCTTCGTGCTCTGGAGAGGACACTCCTCGATACAGAGCATGTTACCATAAGTCTCTCGAGACTCAAGGATGCCTATGAAGACAGTTAAGGAGAGGCTTCTTAATTTAACTTGTGCAGGAAGAAGGGCAAAGCCCCAGATCTTGTGCATTTCAGAAGCTGAGGTGTCGTTGCTCTGAATCAGACAAATGTCTGCTTCCAGCGCTCTTTCAGAATCCGATATTATTTTGATCTGGCCTTGCTGATGAAACAATGAGCTTTCATGCCAAATATTGTAGATATTCAGAGAAAAGCCGTGTCCTCTGTGGGCACACCATTATCTCTGCGCCTGGACACACTTGATGGTTTCATGGTGGAAAATGTTGCACTTAGACTTGGACTGCCTTGGAAGAATACAGAATCTCTTAAAGCGCGTGCTTTCTCCCACTAATTCTATCATTTCATTGTTCGCAGTTATCACCGTTGCGAATTCAAGATTCCACTAGCCATTAAACGAGGTAAGAAAGAGACGTGCCGCTAATTGTGTTCTGGAACTTCCTAGAAATGGAAATACTAGTGGGAATGAATTATGACTTTACATGGTTGCCAGTAATTTAAAAAAAACCACACACACACAGTAATTTCAAGCCACAGGGGGCAATGGCAAACAAACACACAGACAGTAATTTCAAGCCACAGGGGGCAATGGGGCTTAGAGATGTATCGTGGCAAAAAATTATGACTGTATCGTCAGTTTCAAATTGCTCAAACAATTTGAGCAGGGGAGGAAAAAGCAATGAACGTCAGCACTTCAGAGGGTTAGAATCCGACCCACCGCTGGAAGGCCACAGAGCCCCCCATCATCTGTTGCCACTGGCCGTGCTAGCCGTGGCTGATGGGGGTTGGAATCCCAACAGCGTCTGGATAGAAAGAGAGAGTAGCCTTTACAGCTGCTTGCCTCCCTCTCTACCTATCTGTTATCCTCCCTTTCTTAAACAAGGCAATGTTTAAAAATAACTAAAATCCACAAAGAATTAAAAAGACAGCCATTAGAACTTGAAGCTATCGTATACAAATATTTAAAAACCAACTCCTCCTTCAGATCCTGTCTTAAAAAGTATCTGGATTGAGGGTTAACAGAGGATCTAAACACACAGGGGTGTAGATGCTCTTTCCGGCTTTCACTTATTCATGGAGATAGTCAGTGGCATATAGAAATACTCCTTTCTCTAGATGTCATTGTAAGCACTCCCATTTCTGTTTTGCTACCATTGACCAGCTGTGTAAGTAAATAAACCTGTTACAGACAACTTGAGTGGAAAAACACAGAAAGAGGAGACAGAGTTCTGTGCCTTTTTATCTTCCCCCCCTGTAGCTCCCAAACGGTGTTTCAAATTCTCTCATATTGATATTTTTGTCCTTCTGCAGTTTCTTACTTCAAAGCAGATTTCGTGGAAATTTATTAACCCTAGAGGGCAGAAAAGCTCTAATTAATTCCTGGCTCGTTGGAAAGCTGAGTGAAGCAGCTGTTATGATCTTTGGGGTTCCTGGGCCAGAATCCCCCTCAGTTCTGACTCGTACAGCCAGCGGTAAAGGATTTGGTGTCCTCTAACATCCGGAGGTCCGGCCAGTCCCTTTCCTTACAGGTCCAAGAATGATCTTTATGTTGACTTGCCTTGAGATAAAATATCAGTCCGTTCTCTTGTTCTTTTACGCTCCTCATGATTGCGTAGGTGTGTTACCACTACTTTTTCAAAGAGTGAGGAACTACTTGGGAGGCAACGCAGATCAGTTATTAAAATCGGCAGCCACAAAATCCTCCTCATCATATGCTTCTTCAGGCCATATTTCCTCTCTTGGTTTCATCTTGTTCCTGTTTCTTCCCAAATCCAGCGTTCCGTGTCTAAGTCGCACTGGCCATGTGACCACGGAAAGATTGTCTTCGGACAAACGCTGGCTCTATGGCTTGGAAACAGGGATGAGCACCGCCCCCTAGAGTCGAACACGACTGGACAAAAGCTGTCAAGGGGAACCTTTACCTTTACCTCTCTTGTTCTTTTATGCTCCTTGTGATTGCGTAGGTGTGTTACCACTACTTTTTCAAAGAGTGAGGAACTACTTGGGAGGCAACGTAGATCAGTTATTAAAATCTGCAGCCACAAAATCCTCCTCATCATATGCTTCTTCAGGCCATATTTCCTCTCTTGTGGTTTCATCTTGTTCCTGTTTCTTCCCTAATCCACTTAGTTCCTCTTTTACTTCGGTGGAGGATCCTTTGTTTGCCTTTCGGTCGCTTTTTCTCACACTCCCCACGTCCCCATTCTCCCCCATCCGGCTCCTTGCAGATTCATCTGCCGTTTGCCCTGCCTGTATGTATATGTTCTGCTAAAAATTAAAATGCCGTGTCCAGCCAACCCAGGTTGTAGGTCAAGAAACAGGGTGAATTGTGCAAGCATGGATAAACTCAGTGATTTGCCTTAGGCTTGCTGTTCTGCAGCTTATTCAACTTTGTTTCCTATTCTGTGTAATCTTTTTTTCCCCCTTCTGATTATGCTATCAGTGGATACCATCCCTGCCACCACTCAGAGTTTTAATTTGGCCGCTCCTCTGGTTTGTGGGAGCTCCCCAGGCACTGTCAGCCTACTTGCATTCTTCTCCTTACTGTCATAAGGGTTAGAAACATGCAATATTCAAGGGAAAGCTGAGTTCCCCAGTCAGTAAAGTATTGCACTCCCTGTGTTTTTCTGAGCTCCTGAAAATTAATTTCCCCACACATAAAACATCCAGGTAGTTTTTGCCAATTGCTTTTACTCCCAGCAAACGTAGGATCTCAATGTGTAAATGAAAGGTATAGCAACTATTTTAAAATGAAAGGCCTTCGATGAGAATTATGGAGTCCTGCAGCCTCTTCTTGAGAATAGCACACCATTTATGCACGGATTCTGCATACGTTCTTCATTGTTCTTATGTGTTTATGCAGGTGATTAGGGAGAGAGCGAGAGCGTTGAAGTGATACGCAAATGTCCGTAATTGGATGTTAGAGCAGATATGGAAGTTTGTATTTACTAGATCAGGTCAAACAGAGGTGTTATAATGGATAAAGCATTTACTTCTCACAGAGTTTAAACAGCCTATCAGAGAAAGCTGCTTTGTTCTTGCAATATTGATTTTTCAGCCTATTGTATGCACGTGTTTGGTTGTTTACTTTGAAAATTTCCACTTAGAACTATAAAAGAGTAACTGTTTGTTTATTTGGAGGGACCCACTTTGCTTTTCTACCGTGTGCTGATGACTGTCTCCTTTTGAAGGCAATCAAGTTTTGTTATTTTATTACTGAGATTCGCTCTGGGTTTTGTTCCGGGACCCCCAGCCAGCAGACGTAGGATCTCAATGTGTAAATGAAAGGTGCGGGAACTATTTTAAAACAAGCATAGGAGGTCAGCTCTTATGACCGCGAGTCATTCTTACTGTTATGCACGGTAGACTTAGGGGGACAGGTTCAAGACCATGTATCTCAGCCGCCTAGAGTGGTCACAAGACCAGATGGGCGGGGTATAAATAAATAAAATAAATAAATAAATAATAAATTGAGCAGCAGCACAGCAAACATGGATCCAGAAATACCCTCATGAGCTTTATGAGCTGCCCCCATGTTGCTGATACATGATGCACAGCCCCTAATGTGCTCTTGGTGCGAAAGAGGTATTGGTTATTGAGTGGCATGGAAGGTGATCAGGCATCCTGCTCAGGGAGTTGGCTTGGTATCTGAGAAATCCCACTTCTAGCTTCCATAGAGGTGTAAGACTCCCTGGGGAGGTCACCCTGGGGCCTTCAGCCTGACCCACCTCACAAGACTGTTTTGAGGATAACGCGGTGAGGACGGCCATGTAGGCCACCTCGAAGACAAAGGGGGATAAACATGTAACAGATAAATGTACATTTTGTGATGTCATCACATTGAGCTTATATGACCGAATGCAATGTCGTCCGTTATGCTGTTTGTATTCTGAAGATGGCGGAACGTGGTTTCTTGTTGAAAGCTTGATCTTTTATTGTTTTATTAAAGTTTTTATTTGGAAGCTAAATCCATCGAATTGGGGGGGGGGCAGTTCAGTCTGTTTGACTGAGACTGGTCAACTTTTGGTCAACAGTTGGCCTTACTGAAGATGCCCTTCTGTTCTTGCTTTAAACAGAGAGCACCGACTTGCAGACAGAAACGTGTACCACGTACAGCAAGGTAAGGCTGAACTAAAGAGGTGTTTAATAGAATGGATTTATTGGTCATCCCACAAATGGAGCCTTCAAACGAATCAGTACCCCTTGTAGGTGAATTGTTGGCTATTTGAGTTCAAGGAGTTAATGAGTAATTTGCATGTTAATCCTTTCTGATCTGAAAGGATAACATGCCCGTTTGTGACACTCTTAATAATGCAAATTCCATTTAAGTTATATATGTTTGGTAGGGGATATTCCATTTTACCGAGAGAAGAGGTGACCCAAGGCTGGGAACTGCCAAATAACTATTTGTTCGAAAGATGAACTGCCAAAGGGGTGGTTCATGCCAATCTCTGTTCCAAATCCATTTATTTAGGAAACTGCATTTCTCTTGGTGATCCACAAACTAATTCAAGCAATTGAAAGGGATAAAACAGCATTTCAGGAAAGCTGCACTATGACCATTGTGTGAATTTGAACAAAGCAAATTATTTTAGCCCTTTGTGACTGAGCATCAGGCTCCAGGTCCCCTTGGCTGTGGTGGTTAGGGCTCTACATTATAGTTTAGCACATCCAGATGCACCGTCCGTGTTGAGGAAGGATGTCACAAAGTTAAAATTCAGTTCCAAAAGGTACCAGAAACGGACAAGGTTGTTGTGTCGCGGGACAAAGCCAGAAAGGTTGGCGAGCATCTCCAAAGATGGCATTCCAGAAACAAAGACCACACTAAAGTTCCTTTCTCTCGTAACCACGAGACCAGAATTAAAAGCCATACGTTGTATTTGAATTCCAGAGTCAAAATGCACCAACCCACCTCCTCCAATTTCTAAGAATTTTTTTCCCTGTGTGTTTACAGTGGGACAGTATTCAGGATCTGCTAGGACACCCCGTAGAGAAGCCGGTCGTGCTTCACAGGTAAGGATTGTCCCTGTTTAGGGAGAGATGGTATAGGAATTTCAGGTTGTGGCCGGAAAGAGTGACCTAATTATCTTGACCAGACAAGATAGTGTTTCATACTGCTACGTCGCTACAAAGATGATAGATAATGCAGGTTCCTTGATTGTGTGGAAAAGGGGAAGGTTCTAAATTAGTCAATATTACTGCAGATTTCCATTTTGCATTAATTACACCATGGAGACAGTGGGATCCCTACCCTGGGAACCTTAGTTTAGAGCTTGCTGGGCTAACGGCTGCTGAGAGGGCAGAGTATATGGCGGACACCTGAAAGCCCTTGGCTGAAGAAACGACTTGTGTGCCTTCACCATTTTGGCTTGTTGAGTGTCAAGAGGCAGAGTTTTCTAACCCAAAGTCCTCCAGATCTTTCAGAGTACAACGTCCCGCGTCCTCTGGCCAGTTGGCTGAGAATCACGAAAGGTCTAAGGTGACGTATTTAAAGAGCCTCAAGCTGAGCAAGGCTGATTGTACTTCTTTACTGTAGTGCCATGTTCTGGTTTGTAGCAAACACATAACTCTTCCACCCTAGCTAAGGAAAACCAATTCTCATTAAGAAGTCTCTCCCTATGTTGTAAGATTCAGCTGGAGGTTTGAGAAGAATGCAGTAAGACCCCTGTGTCTGTGGGGAATCGGTTCCAAGGCCCCCCCTCCCCAGGAATGCTGAAAATTACAGATAATAGCAAAAGCTCTATATAGCATGGTTTAAAAAAAATCTAGAGAAAAGTATTTTCATCATGTATTGCCAGACTTGGCCACTAGAGTGAGCCAGAGATTATGCTATGTATTCTTCAACAATAAGAATACATCTCGTGGTCTCTGGCTGCCTCTAGTGGCCAGTTCTGGTAAACACATGGTGAAAATATGTATCTCTAGTTTATTTTTTAAAATGTTTTTAATATTTTCAGACTGCGGATAAGCGAGACCGTGGATACCAATCCCAAGGATAAGGGGGGTCCTACTATATCCGTGGCTATACATGCTACTTTGAGGGACTATCTAGCTACCCTGTCCTCTGGAATTTTTAGTCCTCTTTTTTTGTTTTCTTTAGATCGTCTTCTCCAAACAACACAAATCCCTTTGGATCCACGTTTTGTTTTGGGCTACAGCGGATGATCTTCGAGGTGAGGAAGGCCAGCGCATTTTGCTGAAAAAATAATGAGGGCGCCGTGAGTTGTGTTTTGATGGGTCGAAGTGGTTGCTGTTTTTGTGCCTCTTCCGAATAATGACATTTTTAAGCTGAGCAGAGCTGTGATGTATATTGAACATTTTGTTGGATTAATGACTTGAAGTGTTTGTTTTTTCCCTTTTTTCCTTCCGCATCCTTCGGGTTCAATTTTTAAAATGGGCACGTCTCATAGCGTGCTATGTGTTGGACCAGTTCAACATGCATGGATTATAAAGGTCACTGAAAGTGAGCTTTTAATGCTTATGAAGTTATTGAGCAAACCAACCCACAGCCCCTCTAATACTTTTGTGTGAGTTCTGCCAATCAAAGGCCTTTAGTCCGTTGGATGACGCTGGCACACTCTAGCTGATCACCTTTTTGACCACCTCTTTGACCTGTCTGTTCCTTCTGCCTCTTTCTCCAGGTGATGCAGAACAATCACATCGCGTCCGTCACTCTGTACGGCCCTGCAAGACCCAGCAACCCGCTGAAAACGTCAGATCTTCCCCAGTGAGCAATATCAGAGGATGGAAAAGCGACAAAATTAGTACAGCGTGCCTTGATTTGCTGCCACTTACAAAATAGAAAAGCACGGTGTGGTGAGATTTTTGTGTATGTGAGAGTGTGTGTTTGTGTGTGTGTGTGTGTGTTGGGAATAAAAACACCCTGTCTCTTGCCATTCAGGCATAGGACAAGAGGGGGCGTCCGTTCCTCTGTTGGTCACAGGACATGGAACGAGTGGTGGAGGTAAGCAGTTAGGGGCCTGTCGTGGTTGGCTTTCCTCCTCCCGATTTTCCTTACCCCCTACGAGGCTGGATGTAATATGGACTGCCTTGCCTTTTCCTGAACTGGAAGAAGGACAGGCTGAAGGTGAGAGGGGACACAAAATGACTGCACCACTGAGAAGCACAAATGTCCTGAGCCTTGGGACATCCGGAAGCAGGTATTGGATATATAGATATATATATATATTTTTCCCCCCGGTCTGTGTTCGTGTTAACTGTGTTGGTTACGCTGGTCATGTGTTTTTATTTTTTAAAACAGAGACAACAGTGTGGGTGTGGGCGTTTCTAGGCACACACAGAGAACTTATATATAGGTGTATATATAAAATAAAGTACATGGGTATTCTGTGGCTTCTTCGGACATTGTACCAAATGTGACAGGTATGTTATATACGTGTCCATGATTTCAGGCGCCACATGTTGGTCTAACGTTGAAAATCAGCGCAAAAGCAGCATGTGCATTAGACTTGGTTGTAACCTTTTTGCACTACATACACTTTAATTACTTGATCAAACATTTTAAAATCTTCACTGAGGAGCATCTGTGTACTGGGTGTGAGTGGGGGGGGTTGCAATGGTTTTATTGATTTTTTTTTCCATGCATAAGGCTTATTTATACCATGGGAAAGGAATCCCACCTTTTCTGCACTAATATTTACTTGACGTGCTGAAGCAACGTATTTTCTGCCATGCCTGGTTAACTGATTTGTGTTTTATAGATACATGTATACATATAGATGTGTGTGTGCAGTTTCCAGAATGAAGAGAAAAAAGTCAAGTACATGATTCCTATGAATTTTTCTTAAGGTTTTTGATACCTTTTTTTTTTCTTTGTACTTAAAAATCGGGGAAGTAATTCGTTTGCGGAAGAATCCACACAGCTGCCTTCTCTTGCAACTGTGGGTCGCATTGGAATTCCTTCGTCCTGTAGAGAAGGGTAGTCAGAGAACCGAAGCTGAGCCGCTTGAAATGGAAGTTTTCCGGCCTTAATGCGGGACAGACATCCTTGCAGGCTTCACTAAAACACTGTCCTGGTTTAGGCTCAGCTTCAGGTGGTTATTTATGTAGCACACGGAGGAGACCGCTGGCTCTTCTTTCCTCCCTATCTCTTTGTTTAAAACAAAATCATGCCAAAATAATAGCCAAAGAGATCCTGAATCTAGTTTCAACATTTCTGTACATACCTAGTTATACTGCACAGCCCTTTTCCCCTCCCTCTCCACCTTCTCCAGACAGGATTTCAGCTTTTTCACCCGTTCAAGAGGGTTTATTCTCCCGAGCAGGGAAATAACTGGAGGTGTGCATCTTTCTTATCAGTCTTATTATGGGGAATGTTGTCTGTCTGTCTGTTTGTCTCAGTCATCTTTGAAGAATAATCCTTTTTAAAACAACAGAGAGAGAGCGAGAGAGCAGAGAAATGTATAATTTTATCCCGTTTTTAATATTTCGATGTAGCGACTCGTGAGATATATATATATATATATAAAATATACATATAAATATAGACTTTTTGTGAGTTTTGCAAATGTGTGTACAGATTTTTTTGTAAATACGGGAACTTTTTTGTAATTTTAACTCCATGTACAGTGTAATCTTGTATAGTTTGTCAATGAATGGGAAATAGAAGTCTTGAGAGTGTTGACGACAAGTTTTGAATTCTGGACCAGTAGCAGGGGTGAATGGTGGGGCTTTGGGGTGGGTGTGTTTGCAAGTGCTGATGAGTACGCGTGGCCTCCTTTTTGATGTTTAGTCTTCCTGTATACTGTGACATTCTATACTGTTTTACTTAAGAGGAAAATAAAGGAAAGCTCCACCCAGTTGCTGCCTTGTTAAAATGCAGTTGCTGGGTTATATGTATTTTGCAATTAGCAATGCGTCTTCTGTAGCTGTGTTCTTAATTGTGATGTTTTTATATCCTGCCCTTTGACTGAGGAGTTGAAGACACTGCCTGCAGTTTTTCCCCCAACTGCCTCCATCCTCTCTTTTGAACCTTAGGGGGAGTTGAGGAAAGCATAGAAAGTGGCCAGCCCAGAATCTACCACTGAGCGCCTTCCTTATTGATTATGCACTGCACCATTCTGAACAGCTGCTGAGATCCACCACCCCTCCAGAGGCTGTGATGAACCCTGCTTTTAGATTCTAGCGTGGCAGCTTTGTCACGTGGTGTCTAGGAAAACTGTAATATTTGTGGGGGTATCGTGAATTAGTTAGTGCTGAGGAACAGACCCATTTATTTCAGAACAACCTGTTGTTCGTCACAATCCACACAGTCAAAGGCTTTCCTCTAGTCTAGAAAGCACTGACTGGCCTTCCGAAATTCTTTGGTGCACTCCAGGAGCTGGCGTACATTTGCAAGATGATCTCCAGGTCTTCTTCCTTTTCGGAATCCAGCTAGAACAGGAAAAGAGGAAGACCCAATATGAGATGGATTGGCCAACTAAAGGAAGCCACAGGCTTGGATTTGCAAGAGCTGTTCAGGGCTGTTGACAATGGGACATTTTGGAGATGGCTCATTCAGGGTCATCGTAAGTTGGAGCCAACTGTACAGCACATAACAACATCACAAATGTGGGAGAAAAGTATGGATGGTGGGGGGAGGAGAAAGCATGACAGATCATCCATCAAACAAGACAGAGACCACCGACTCTGTAAACACCTTCTGTGTGCTGCAGAAACAGAGGTAAGTGGATGTATCTGCTTGGCGACTCTCCACCTCATTGAGGTTAAAGTGGAGTCTTCAAACATATGTGCTCACTTTTCTTTTGCTGTTGTATATTATGTCACTTTTGGCTACAGGATTTTTTTTCTTTTTTAATTGCTGTTGTTATTTAAATTGGGTTCTAGTTTTCCCCTCTTTACATAGCTGTGTATGAATGTTGTAAGTGAAACAATAGCCATAACTAGATACAATTTTTTGAAAACCACTCTCTGTACGGGGACTGAAAGTTAAGACAGTCTGTGCTCACGACCTTCATTGAGGCCTGTCATCATCTCCTACAATCTACCTTTGCCCAATTAATATTAGCATGACACCATTTTAAACGCCCTGGATCCATCCTGAGGGATCTGGGGACTTCTAGTAGGTGAGGACTTCAGGATTGTTCTCAAGCAGAAAATAAGAGCCTCAGCAAATAACAGATTTCAAGATTCTTCAAGATGGAGCCGTGATGATTAAAAATGGATTCAAGGGGCTATGATGGTTGTATAGATACACTCATCATCTGATAGACATGGTTGCTTGTTAGATTTTATCGCCGCGATGCTCCTGTAATTCTGAAGATGGCTTTAGTCCGTTAAGTCACATAAGCGAACAAGATGTGCAACAGGCCATGAATGCTAAACCGTCTGGCACGTGCTCACCACCATAGCATCTGCTTTGAAACAGAAATAGCTTTTTCAGGAAAACCAGTAGAGTCTTTTCCACAACCAACACTCCAGTTCTTGGTGGGCAAGGGACTGGATGGCTGTGTCCTTTGAATAGGAGAGGAGGATAAAAGATTTGAGTAAAGAAACGTGTGCTGACCGGATAGCTCAGTGGCTTAGGCATCTGGCTATGGAGCCAGAGTTTGGGCGATCCATTCATCCCTGAGCCTTCTGGGAGAAGAGCCAGCCTGGGTGGCCTTGGGCAAGCTGCACTGTTGTCCCAGGGCACCCCCCCCCCACAAGAAGAAGGAGGCTGGTGAACCACTTCTGGTCATTCTCTGCCTGCAAAACCTTGGAAAGGATTGCCATAAGTATTGACTTCACGGCACATGGTTAAAGAAAACCTTGCAGGATTTTCAACGAGGTTTACAAACATGAATGTAATGGGGTGAACAACAGGTTTTAGTTGCTAGTCTAGCCAAAAAAGGGTCATGCTCGACAGAAATATGAGAAATCAAGGAATATGTTGTCTAAAAAGGCAGACTGAAAGAATGCCCTACCAATCTTACTTTTACCGGCAATCCCCTTTTGAAATGTTTTTTTTTTCTTCCGAGCAGGAAAAAATAACCCTGTGGATAAGGCGGCAAATGGTTTTTAAAAGAGCCCAACTCTGTCGTTGTTTTATCCCCAAACGCTCACCCTTTCCTGCCGTGCTCTGAGCATCAGCCCAACTCCATATTCTTCTGCCAGGGACCCCATTCCTTCCCATTGGAAACAGATTTCTCTCTATGCAGTGCAGTGATCACGTTACGTTGATTACATCTGCAACTGCTGATCCCCAGCTGTTTTCTTTCTCTTTCTGCCCTGCCTGGTCAAGACTTTAATGTTTGTTCCTTAGACCTAGGATTGGGCTGGAAATTCATTGCGTGCAGCGGTCTTGAGGGCTTTTTCCTCTTTTTAAAGGTTTACGAGAGAGGGATGGAAAGCTCCGAGGCCTTTCAAATATCGTGAAATGGTGGCTCCCAGCCATTCTTGGGTCGTTGATGGTGAATGAGCCCAGTCCTTGTGGTCCAGCAACCTCTGAATGGAACCATGTTACCCACCCCTGGATCGTGGCAATGCATGTATTAGGATCCCTTACACCAGTGGTCCCCAGCGTTGAGCCTCCAGATGTTCTTGGACTTCAGCTCCCAGAAATCCTGGCCAGCAGGGGTGGTAGTGAAGTCTTCTGGAAGTTGTAGTCCAAGAACATCTGGAGGTCCAAGGTTTGGAACCACTGCCTAAAACAATTCAAGTAGAATTAGTATCATGTTGCAGCGAGGTGTGTTAACGTTTAGAGCTCTGGACAGTCAGCTGTGGCTTTTTCCTGAATATTCTGTTCCAGGAAGGGAGAACAGGAGGCGTTCCAGATGTTGATGAAATACAGCTGTCCTAAGTTACAGCAAGCCTCTCTTGTAATGAGCAACAATGGGAGTTGTAGCCTTAAGAACATCTGGTGGGCCACATGTTCTTTCCCACCCCATAGTTTCCTGCCCCCCAACCCAAATTCAGAATTCTCTGGCCGCTGACCACATTCAGCCCTCACTAGGTTCGTTTTAGTCTCTTTTCCTCTTTTTATCTAAAGCTTCTTTTTTTAAAGAAAGAAAGAAATCTGTACTTTCAAAATTTCCGTTTGCTCAAGTCCATTCTTGCAAAATGATATTGTGCTTTTGGCTACCAATCTTTGGAGCACCAGCCATAGGCTGAGCCCATGAGGGCACTCTTGTCCATGCTTTGGGACTGAAGTCATTGTGGCATGCTGAAACATTTCACATTTCATCCATTGGCAAAATCCGGAGCTGGAGTCCCGAAGGCAGTTCGTGTCGTTCTGCCAACTCCTGCGACGTTGCTGGAACCAGTCGTATTGGCTCTTGCCTTTCCATTGGACCGTTTCAGCAACGTGGAGAGGGGGGATCTGCTGCTTGGGTAACAGCCTATCCTCCATATTGTTTTACCCAGGCTTCATGCTCTGGAGAGGACACTTCTCAATACAGAGCATGTTACCATAGTCTCTCGAGACTCAAGGATGCCTATGAAGACATCCATTGGCTGATACATTTTTAATTTATTATTTATCCAATATCTGAATAATGTGTCTTGCCTTCCTCTGGTGTGCAGGTAGGCAAACATGCTTGTGAAACTAAGACCTCAGAGTGCCTGGAGATTGGGACCCAGTACATCCCTGTCTGGGGAATCTGTGAGAACCCCTCTTTGAGCGGCCCTCCAGCTACCATCAGCCTCTGCCCACATAGCCAGGGTGAGAAAGAGTTGCCACTTGGCAAGCTTGGGGTGCGCATCTCAGGCTACTGATAATTCTGCAAAAGGGCCCTCGGCTCTGGAGAGATTGGCTAGCCCCGCTTTACACCACTGCAGGCCCTGGCGCCATCTCCCCTAATGGTGCCTACACCTCTTGAGGGATTCGGCTGAGTATTTTTCCCAGCTGTACTTGGATCTGAAGGAATTAAACCAGGAAAACTCTGCGTTCAACGCAGATGCCCCTCCGTGGCTCTCTGACCCTTGGCCAGCGTGAACTGCACCGCATGTGGACGAAATCCATCTTAAAGATCTTGGAGCCAATTAACGTTTGGGCAGTTGTAATATATTTTGCATGGGTGGTCTTCCAAGACTTGGATGTCCATCCATGGGAGGATGTGTCGGGACGCTTGGAAAGAGTGGTTCTGTATAGGAAACTAGCATTTTAGAGCTTGGCTCGAGTGAGTGAGTTGCTTGGAGTTCAGCTGGCTGGGATATTCTGGGAGTTACAGTCCAAAAGAAAAACCACTCTTTCCATGTTCTGGTTGTGTCATAGGTTGGTTTAGTGAACCAGGGAACCCTCCTTTGGCATATCTCCTTCTAAGAATGTACCATTTCCCCAGCTGTATTTCCTGGGCATGTCGCTCTCCTAGTCCAACCCATCTGGAGGTTACCCCCATTGACGAAAGCAGCCTTTTGAGGTCCGTGGTATTTAATACACCTCTGACTTTGATCTGCCTTTTTATTTATTTATGTATTTTACAAAAGAGGAAAATGGCAACCGAGTAAGTAGGCTCGTACTTTATGGGGATCACAGCAGATTGGAGGCCAACTTTCACTCCATCCTTCCCCCTGTGCAGACTCTTAAGGAAGATTACACTTTTGGCACTAGGAGGAACGTTTCCACTGATGCTGACTTTAGAGTGTGCATCTAAAAAAAAAAGTGCTCTTAAATGCTATCCTGCAATGTGCTCTCTTAAGGTACAGTCCTATAATCTGGAGGTAGACTTTACCAAATTCAGCCCGACGTGTTTTTAAATAACTCTGTCTATGATTTTATGGTCAGTGCTGTAATCCAGTTCGACATTCGCTTCAGCTCCCAACTTGTTTCTGAACGCTTCACAGTTCGCCTTTTCCCTTCCTGGAAAAAAGAAATCTTTGTACAGTATTAGGATCTCCTGGTTCACCCTCTCTGCCATGACTCTCTCTTCCGATAGTGGGTGGGAACCAATGCAGCCGGTCTGTTCATGAAACAAACCGCCATTCACAGAAAGGGTCACGCTCACAAAACAGCTCTTGTGAGGCCAACTTGGATTGGAGCCACTCTGTGGGGTCCTGCCCTAGACATTTGCCCTGTTTACTCCCAACCACAGCACTGAATCTGGCTAAAAACCTATGCCCAGCGCTTGATATCTCTAATTGAAAAACTACTGCATCTTGTGATGAGGAAGCTCTATCTGTAATATTAGAAACGGGTGGTTCATTCATCCATGCAGGTCAAGAAATCGTTGAACAACCAAACAAAAGCAAACCCACCCTTAGGTGCCATAATCATTTGTGATCTCTTTGGTTTTGATTTTCCACCGGAAAGCCTTCTTGACTTGCTTCTTTTGGGTGCAAGAGAGCCGCGCGTTGTGGAGCAGGTTCCACATGAGCCAGATTTCTGCCACTTTCAAGCTATGGACCACCATGAGGTCTTTGTAGAAACAAGGATCGAACGTCTGCAAGTTAGGGGCAGCGGAGGGCTTGGTTATTCCAAAAGTCTTGAATCCTTCGTGCGAAACGGGCCTCAGGTTGATTCTTTGCAGGCACATGCCTAAAAACACGTCATCAATTGGGAAGAGTTCCACTTGGCCACAGGCCTGGGACAGTTTCTTCATAGTGCTACTCGATAATATGAAACCACCCCCTCCAGCATAGGCCGGGTACATGCCTAACCCATACATTGTCTCCGGGATGTAGTACTTGCTCTTGCGGGTTCGAATCGGGTGCGCATTGTAGATGATGTCCCCAACAAAAAGGTCCTCAGAGGCATCGTGGCTGTCCAGGAAGCTGATGATGTTCTCCACGTTGACAAAAACGTCGGCGTCCCCTTTGAAGATGAACTTGGTGTTGGAGCAAAATTCGTCGGCCCAGCGTAGGAAGTGTATCTCTTTCAAAGTCAAGTTGAAGAACGTGTCCAGGAAGTCCCACAGCAGGATGTCGCGATACATCAGGCTCTCCTGTCGAACGAGAGATTCCCAGGTTGGCAGGGCTGTCTTGTTTTTCGGAACGGCCAGGAGGAAAAGTCTCTGGACTTGAGCCCCATTGACCAGTCCTTCTCTTCCCCATGTTTTCCGCACGATCTCCCGGCGGTCAAAGTCTTCAACCAGCGATTTGATGGCGATGAGCAAGAAGGGCCCTTCTGGAGTCCTTGTGCACTTCTTGGGTTGATTGATGAGGAGGTCAAACTTCCTGTTGTCTTTGTTCCTGAGGTAATTCCTAAAGTCAAAAGCTGAAACTGTCAACCGTGGTGGAGTGGTGACTGAATCCTTGTCATTTGCCTCTTGGTTGTGTTTCACAGCAGAAATAATTCTGGGCACTGTTCCCGTCTCCCGACCTTCTGCCTGTCTTTGGAGGACGGCAGGATGACGGAGGCCCTTGTGCGTTGCACCTAAAGTTGTCTTCTTCCCTTTCCCCTGCTCTTCGCGAAGGGACAGGTGACTCAGTTGGGAATAAAGTATGGTGAAAAGCGCAACCACCAAACAGAGCGTACAGATGGCATCACCCTTCAGTTGAACTCTCATTATTTCCACTGACAGGCTAGAAACATCCAGTGGTTATATCAGGGGAGTTGTCTACGGAGCCCTGCAACCTGAAAAGAAAACAAGGGGAAGTCAGGGAAAGGTTGGCAGAAACTAAGAGTGAATCTTCATATTTAAAGGAGAAAAGGGGCCCTCTTAGCCACTATGACGCAGTTCATCCATCCTAACCTACACGCCAGCTACTGGAAGACCCTGAAAACGGTGGCCGTCAGTCAGAATTGACTCAGCAGCACATGGTTATTATTATTTGTAAATGCTTCCAGTTCCTGGAGCCATCTCGCACACACACACTTGATCTTGTGACCTACTCACCTCTGAGTAAGCAAAAGGTTGCAGGAGTGGCTCCAGTTAAGTGCGGACATGGTTTTGCATAGATTTGGGCCTGTCCTCTTTTCCTATGCGAGACGCAAGCTGCCAATGTTAAAGCTTGGAGAGAACGTCTGGCCCTTTTGCCGTTGTTTAATTTTTATAGGCTCATGACTTGGAAGAAACTTCGTGTGAGATGGGAATCCACATTTTCCATGACTTACTCATTTAGCCTGCCAATAGCTCGGAGACAATGTGGAAAGCCAACAAAGTCTCCAGGCCTTGGGCCGCAGCCCAGACGCTCCTCTGCCGGAAGGAAGGCCCTTGAGATAACCCAAACTGGAAACCGCTGGTTGGAAAAGTGCAACAGAAATAACGGTATTGTTCTATACCAGCCTTTTTCCAAGGTTAGGTTCCCCCGGGTGTGGACTACAGTTCCCAGTATCCCCTAGACAGTCTGTTTTGTAGTCTTTACAGACCTGAGGCTTCTAGCTTGGAAAAGGTTGGTTTATGTGCTGAGGAAGTTGCTGTCTCTCTGTGTGTAAAGTCTAGCTATTGGTGCTAATAAATCTAAAAAATGACAAAAGGTGACACATGCAAATGAAATATCCCAGGATGTAAGAATGCGACGGGATGAAACCACTCACCTTTCTTGACCAACATTTTGTCCAACCACATGCCTCTGGGATCTGGAAAAATGGCCACATGGCTCTCTCGAGTGTTTCCCACCTCACCCCCCCAAAAAAACCTGACCTCCCAAGCCATCCTGTCTCTGATCTTGAAGGTAAGATCCAGAGCTACCTTCTCAGTGTATACATTGGCCAACTTGAGAAAGCTAAGCCATGCCAGGGCTGGATGATGCCTGTGTGCTTTCGCCAGGTTGTGTTTGGGTTTGCTGGTTGGGTAACAGCCTATCCTCCATACTATTTTACCCAGGCTTCATGCCCTGGAGAGGACACTCCAGCTTCACTAGACACTGTTCCAAGTCCTCCATACAGAGCACATTACCATAGTCTCTCGAGACTGAAGGAAGCCTATGATGATGATGTTTGGGTTTAATGCAGCAGGACCACTTTTGTCTGCACCCCCAATGCCTCCAAATATTTTTCTCAATTAAAAGAAAAAACAACAGAAAAAATTATCTTGGAGTTTATAATGAAGGAGCAGGAAGCATGCACCCTGCAAGAGACATACGACCTCAAAGGGCATTTCCGCAGCTCCATTATTTCTTTCTTTCTCTGTGTGGATTTCTGGGAGTTGTAGTCTAAGAACATCTGGGGACCCAAGGTTGGGAAGCATGGACTCCAGTGAGTCACGTGGTCATTTTGTTTGCTCCTCCTGAGCGATTCTGAATGGTTTCTGGTCTTGAATCAACCCCCCAGCTTAAAAAACAAATCTGGAGGGGGTGGCTCAGTTATAAAAGGCAAAGAGGACTTTTGGGGGAATTTTTAAAAAATGTTGTGGTTCAGAGTTACTAGGATGGCTCTGGGGTGATGGGAGGCTGCTTTGGCAGGGGTTGGGGGAGGCACATAGAGTCCGTAGGCCCCAATCCATTCATCCCTGATATAGAATATTTGCTTGTGCATCCTCTCCTGATTCCAGCCTGGGTCCACACATGTTTTGGTGCTAACAGGAATTATAGACATACAGCCAGTTCCCACCTATGTCCTGTTTTCTCCACGCACTTCAATCCTGGCCTGATTCTGTGCCTGCCAATTTAGAGGCCGAAGCTCCCTCTGAAAGAGACAACGAGAGGAAGCCAGTCCCCTTGTACGGATCACATCTGAAAAACACCAGATGTTTGGAGGGAGGTCCCCTTGTACGGATCACGGAGTGACCCAACTCTGCCTTCCATCTGAAAAACACCAGATGTTTGGAGGGACTCAACATTCTCCTGCCTGATCCCTTTTAAGGGCTGCCTGCCAATTCAAGAACGTTTCTTTGGTTTTGCTTTTGGGATGGGTACCCATCCTTCAGAAATCGAACATCCCTGTTTCATTCCCCTGCCTGCTCGGTTGCTAATCTAACACGGCGCAAGCTGAGTGAATAGCTCAGTGGGTGAGGTCTCTGGCCGTGGAGCCAGAGGTTGGGAGTCCAGTTCCCTGCTGGGACTTGGTCTTCTTGGAAGGGAGTTGGGTGAGAATAGCTTAAACTGAAGATCGATGCAGACCTCCTCTTTGGGAGCAACTGGCCTCCGCCAGTTGGTACACCTCCCCTTACGCTACACATTGCAGAAGCGGTTCACCTTTTGCAAAGGAAAATAAAGCAGTGGAGTATGCAATTTTAATTGCCCTTCAGACAGCAAGAGATACTGGGTCTTCTTGGAAGGGAGTTGGGTGAGAATAGCTTAAACTGAAGATCGATGCAGACCTCCTCTTTGGGAGCAACTGGCCTCCGCCAGTTGGTACACCTCCCCTTACGCTACACATTGCAGAAGCGGTTCACCTTTTGCAAAGGAAAATAAAGCAGTGGAGTATGCAATTTTAATTGCCCTTCAGACAGCAAGAGATGACACACAAAGAGGGAATTCAAGGAGGCATAACGCAGCCTCTGCGCCTGCAGGTTTTTAAGACTGCAAAGCCTACTAATTCTGGACATCATAACCCCCACCCCCCCAAAAAAAATAAATATTCTCAATCTCAGCTATAGAGCTGGCCTTGGCATAAGCCTGCCTCCTTCCGTTTGGGGATTTCTTTTTGAAAACGCCAGGCCTTGAGTCTTAACCCCGTCGTCTTATTCCTTGTTTGGCCAAAAGGAGCCAATTTCCTCTGTTTCTTGGACAGAGGCCAGCTTTTGCAAAATATGCATGCCAGGGAGGTGTGCCCTCTTGAGATGTGTCTCCGTGGCAAGGCTCTCACAGAAAAAGCTGCCTTGGTCAGGCAGAAGAAGAAGGAAAGAACAACCCCACATTTCTAGCAAAAGCCTCCCGTTTCTCCTTGCCCAAATGCCAGGACGCAAATAAAGACAAACCACGTTGGGGGGGGGAAATGTCCGGCTTTAGAAGAAATGTGCCATGTTTCTCTCTTCACCTTTCCCCTGGCAGCCCACCATGCCAGGCAGATATGAAGACCCTGCAGCAGCTCTTGCACACCTCTGGGGAGTGGGAATTTTGCCTGGTCCAAACCTACACAGCAGACACGTACATAAGGTACAACTATCCAGGTGGGGTGAGCAACGAGGTAAATGTATCCCCCCCATCTCCCACCCTCAGAAAACTGAGGGTCTGCAGCATTTCGGTGTCCAAAGACATGCCAGAGGTGCCACCTTGAATCTGTGGCGAGGAACAAATCTTGTCAAGAACCTTGGAGGGGCTGCTGCCAGTCAGAGCGATGACTACTAAAGCAGATGGACTAAAAGTTTGATTTGCAGCTTCTGGATGGAACAAGAATCCTACGATGATTATTCAGGTTTGCTCAGTGAGTCCTCTGCACATGTTCAGAGAGAAACCCAAACCAACAGCTTGGTAAATTTTAGAGCATACTCTGCAGATGATCAGAGGAAGCATTTGGGGGCCAACCCCTGGGACTGAACATGGGTTCCCATGGGAAGCAGGAGCATCAACGAAACTCTAAACTGGGGATCAGAAACCATGTGGTTGCTGCATCGCAGGTCCTGGAATCTTTCACCACCACCCCCCGGGGACATGGTCTGGAGCAGATGGGAAGTAGCCGCCCGGCATCTGGAGGACCCAAAAATGGCTGGTGTGGATTTGGATGCTGCGGAAATGCAACGGGGGCTAGATAATATGTTAATTAGAGCCCAGTCATCTGCAAGGTCTGAAGGCACCTTTGTTGGTTATGGGGAGGGTATACATCATAGAACATCTATCCTTGGGTGATTACGGAAATTAGGCGTGCCTATGGAAGTATATGGGCATATTAAAGCATTGCCATTTGTTGCTAAAGCAAAGTCAGATTGGGATAATGTCTTTTTGTGTAGCCAGCAGAGAAGATCAGGGAGCTGCTGGGCTAAACTTGGCCAAGATAATTGACCTTTTAGAGCACTTTCAATGGCTCTAGAGAACTGAAGCAAAGGCTGTTTAAATTGCACGCACTTATTTGCTGCCTACTGCCCTACCAGCAGGTATAGGTAGTTATTTGAAACCTACACAGCCATTGGTTGGGCCAGGTCAGACTTTGGCTGATTGACACTCTCCCAAGCCATTGGTTCAGCTGCTGGGGTGTCACGGAATGTCCACAAACACTAACTCTGCCTGCTTGCAATTTATGTTGTTTCGGTGGCATGCAAGGTTTCTTTCCAGATCCCCCTCCCCATTTTCCCAGCCTCACCCTATTCTCATGACAACCATCGGCTAGTTTAACAGCCATTGAACCAAAGCCATTTAAGCACCTCTACAGCTGTGCAGGAATTTGAACTCAAGACTCCCCGTCAAAGTCCTTTGCTGTAATTCCTTCATTGCACTGATCCATTGGGACCATTTGATGTCAATAATAAAGAGTTTAACTCAGGGGTGTGCTGTTCTGTGACAGTAGTTCAGTGGTTTAGGTCTCTGGCTACGGAGTCAGTTGTAGTCCAACTAATCTGGAATTTGCCAGGTCCAAGATGACTACGATAGGATACCCTTGCAGACTCTCTAGCATTTGTACTGAAATTCAGAACATGCTGATCACTGACAGCTCTTCAGGGTTTAAGCCTGGGGTCATGAATGTTCTCAGCCCTACCGAAAGATGCCAGGGACCTTTTGT